ATTATTATGAATGCAAAGCATTGTCAAGTCGGTGATATTGAAATATTCACAGACCCAATACCCCGGGTCAGTGCCCTAACAATAGTGGAAAAAAAACTAATTATCATGAAAGCAATACATAACGAAGTATAGAGCCGGTACAATATTGTAACAAATTTGCATGATTAGAAAAGCAGTGCACTAACGACATTCAAGTTGATATATTCAAGCCAGTACAGAGTTGCATACAAGTTGCGTAATTACAGTACCTTCGGATATAATAACAATTTTACTAGTTTCAAAAAAAAAGGTTGCTAAGGTAACGCGCCAGTTCAGCGCGTGACTTGGGGTCAAAATTCGGTCAACACACACTTGATGTCAGCATCGCAGCGCAACAAGTTTTGCAAAAAAGTACTTGAAGTTCAATTGTGTCCCAAAATGATGTCGCTGATCACTCAGTTGTCGCAGCGTGTGTTGTGTCATGTTCATGATGCACCCAGTTTCGACTTTGGCTTGCTTTTCTTTCTTAGTGATGCGACCTCTCACCAATGTATTAAAACACTTTGAATTTATACTTTGCATGATTATATTTGGTCAACGCAAAACATTATTTTTTCTAAACATTTTCTTTTATCAACGCAGGGTTATTTTTCCCGACAAGATGGGCTTCGTAATATCTGCCATAACATCGCCCGGGCGATGCCTAGAAAAATAAAAAAAGGCAGTGCAGCCACACGGCTACTTTGTAGCCATGTGTTCATTGTTTGTTTGTGTACAGAGTGACCTTTGCCATTTCACTGTTTCATTTCAAGTGTAACATGGTGCCTGGTCCTTAACACAGTGCGTGTTCTCTGCCCGACTATACGCCATGAATGTCACTAGCCACGAGTCTCAGAGGCACTAAAAAACATCCTGTAATCGTGTTCATTATAAAACAAAACAAATCACTAATAAATTTATGAAAACAGCTCCTTTTTGAATCGATCGAAAAGTACTCTTTTAATTCGCGCACCAAAAACCAATAATTTCCGTTTTGACGCTATTAATTCGTGCATTTGAAAAAATAATTATTTTTACTACCGCGAATTAATCAAGTTTTTACGGTAGTCCACAGTTTGGATATGAGGAACATCCCATAATATTCAGCTGTATTGTTTTAAATTTTCATCCTCAATTCCATGAGTAAAATGAAAAATTGAAAAAAAAATAAAACCTCTTGTAAAATTGGCTGTAGGAATTGAAAGTACTGTAGACAAAACTAATACTGCTAAGATTTTCTAATGGACATTGCAATGTTGCAAGGGAAATTGTTAGACAGCAGTCTTCAGGATCAGTTTATTTTGATGCCACCTGTCACCTGAAAACACAAAATAAAGTTAATCTGTACTAAACTGAAGCTGGTTTCCTAGAGCTCTGCATGCAAATTACGTATTGACACAAGTAAAGCAACATCCTTCCAGTTACGAGATAGATGCTATCATGCATAGAGTAGCCTAGAAACTCAAAACTTTAATTCTATTCATTTATATCTAAATCATTATGTATTACCACTTACAGATACAAGATAAAACAAGTACTACAAGTGTTGCTGCCCCTAGAAAACTCACACAAGAAGAGATTGCTTTGGAAAAAGCAAGGCTGCAGAAACTGGAACGCGTATTTGCAGAGAAGATTAAAAAGCTACGGGAGATTCAAAATAGAAAAGAATTAACAGTTGCAGCTTCTAAAGATTCTAGTTACGGTGCTTTTCAACGATTGGCGGAGGTTAAACTGCAGTCGGCCAATCTAAAGCCTGCAATGATTGAGTACAAAAAGGATAAAATATGTTTTGATTTTGGCAATGAGAGTGATGTAGATGAAAGTCAACAGAGTGTGAAAACAAGGAGGAAGTCTCTTATTGAATTAAATCCAAGCACAAAGCCGAATTTAATGAGTCCAAATAACGAGAAATCTAAAACTCGGATTGAAAGCACTGATATTACCACTGATGCAGACAACAAGTCTGAAATTACAGCTATTGGCAAAGAAAACAAAGAAGCTGGGAAGAGTAGGACATCAAAAATTAGTAAAAAAGATGTTTTTGCCAAGAAAATTTTTTCCATGCCTTCCGACTCACAGCTGGAACGGTTAAAAAGATTACAAAAAGAAAAAGAACAGGTTGTTAAGTTTGATCCGATGTGGGTCTATGTTGGTCGTGACAATGATTACATCAATGTTCGGAAACTTAACTTGGATATTCCAGTTGCGGAAACTGTTGCAAAACAGTCTGTTGATGATGGGGAGATTGTTTCTTACAAACCATACAAGAGTACTTTATTACACTTCAAAACATACAGGTAAGTGGTATGAATTATAGGCAGAGATTTCTATGTAAAATTTCTGTTTGTGCTCTGAATGTTCTATATACACAATCTTCATGTTGTATTCAATATTTTGCTCCCCCGTCAATGAAGTCGACAAAGTTAAGCTACTCATATTATTGATTGTCCATCATTTGTCTGCTTTAAGCTAAAATCATACTATGAATACCGGTTGTTGCATTTTTGATATGGGTCCCATGCGATGTATAGTACGTTGTTTGTTTACACAAAATTTGAATTTTCATGGTGATCCTTTAAATTAATTACTTTTTCAATTTGACGATTTGCCTAATGGTGGCAATTGACACCTCACCTCTTGAGGGCGCATTTTATAAGTTGCCTTAAAGGGGAAGTCAAGCCAAACATCGTAATGCTCCCCAAGGAAAGAGCTCCACATGTACTGTAAAATCCTTTTGGCTTGGAATTAATTTTCTCTATTTTCGCTGAAGGAATGATTCAGTGAAAATAAAATCCAGCAAATGTAAATTTTTTCCTACATTTTACATTCAACTCGTCAAAAATCAGTGAAAATAAATTCCATACAAAACACCCAAAAGTATTTTCAACGAAAATTAATTCTAGCTAAAATAAAGTATTCTACAGTATATAACTTTTCTTTCTCTAGATATTTGACTTTTTACCAATATTATGTAGTTTGCCATCTTGATTCTTCAGCAAAGGATTGAGGGTAAAGTGTTACATCATATCCCCTGTTGTGAAAAATGGAGAAAATGCTTTCATCTATAACGTGAAAAATACTGATGCGAATTTGTTCAAATTTTTGATGTGTACATGTATATAACTCATGTATATCATTATAGTAATGGAAATTAGAATGTTACAAATACACATAAAGTGAAAATATTGCCACAAACATAAAAAAAATAAAAATCATTATTTTAGTTGTTAAAAATAGAATAACACTTTTTAGTCCCCTTTTTGTGGTCAACAGGTAATATATCATCTATATAACCTACTCACATCGATAAATTGTATACAATATTAGAAAATTTGAGCATTTGGTAGAAAAACACAAAATGAACTATTTTACCAGTACATGTATGCTACCATTGTTCTAAACTTTCATCCAATTTGAAGTTCAACTTTTGAAGTTATAGATGAAATCATTTTCTCAATTTCTGACAACAGTGGATATGTCATACTTTACCCATAATCCTATGCTGAAGAACCAAGATGGTGGACTACAAAATACTGATGAAAAGTTGAAAATCTAGAGAATGAAAAGTGATATAAATAAACTGTAAATTGCATGTCCTTGCATTTGCCGAGCTCTTTCATCTGGGAGTATTATGGTGTAAGCCTTGACTTTTCTTTTAAGATTATTCTGAATTTCATTCATACGATACAGATACAATAGCTCTGCTGACTTTGTTACCATAGAAATAGGAACTGCTAGATAATTCAGTGGGAACAACACATGATTCAGCATGGTGATTTAGTCATGACTGTTTTTAGCCTGGAATATAAACAGGGTAACGGAACGCTTCTGTGACGTTAAGATGATGTATATGGGTTACAACAGTGTCGTTCAAAATCAACAACTGTATGTGTTTATTTAGCGCTTCGTCGTCGTCTCTCGAAAACATAATCTTAATTATCAAAACAATATTGACAATACATGGCCTTCATGTCACCCATTTACGTCATACAGTGTTGAAGCACCTCATCACTAGAGGGCGCAGTTTATAGGGAAGGTGTATCACTATGTTAAGTATCATCCATTTACCAATGAAAGTTAAAGGTTTTTCAGAGACTGCTTTCTGATTTTCTGATGCAGTAATTTGTACTGAGTTAGTCTTATACAATGTACAATATTTCTTAGGTCAGGGTTTGTCATAAGCCTTCTATTATGGTTTTGTTCGCATTTATTTCATTTCATCTTTATATTTCAGATTTAACCCATATTACAGAACTAAATGTAAACTGTCTTTGAGCTCACCAAGTTTTAGTAATAGACTCAATCCACGCAGAGTGCTTTGTTCATTTGACTTAAAAGGAACTTGTAATGATGAAAAATGCCCCTGGTAAGTATACTTTACTGGTTTTCTTTTCCCAATTTCTGACTTCAAATGAATTTTAACAAATTTTCTATTTCCTATTCTATATTTCTAAATATATGAGATTTTATTCTACATGTGAATGTAGTATAATCAATTACATTTTTTTGTTTGTTTTTTATTCAAAAGTTGTGTAATAATCAAGTTATACACAGAATAGTATCATTGCCTGTTTGTTACCATTCATCTAATATATTCTTTTGTCACTGGTCATTCCAATTCAGGCAATTCCCCTTTGTCGAGCGGAGCTTATCATATGAGTGATTGTCTGTCGTCCGACGTCCGTCGTCCGTGTCAATGTTTTACTTTTTCGACTTCTTCTTGAAAACTACAAGCATGAATACTTTGATACTTGGTGTATATGTACCTTGGGTTGACCTCTCTCGGATTTGTTCATTTCATGATCATATCTTCAATTCTCTAATTTTGGTGAATATTTTTTTCATTTTTGGTAAAAAGTGATATTTTCAACTTCTTGTTAAAAACTGCAAGTCCAATTGCTTTGATATTACATATATAGGTACTACATGTGGACCTCTCTCAGATTTGTTCATTTTGTAATGATATCTTTAATTCTCTAATTTTGGTGAATATTTTTGTCATTTTTGGTAAAAAGTGATATTTTCGACTTCTTGTTAAAAACTGCAAGTCCAATTGCTTTGATATTACATATATAGGTACTACATGTGAACCACTCTCAAATTTGTTCATTTCATGATATCTTCAATTCTCTAATTGTGATGAATATTTTTGTCATTTTTGGTAAAAAGTGATATTTTTGACTTCTTGTTAAAAACCACAAGTCCAATTGCTTTAATAATACATATATAGGTACTACATGTGGACCTCTCTCAGATTTGTTCATTTCATGATGATATCTTCAATTCTCCAATTTTGATGAATATTTTTGTCACTTTGGTGAAAAGTGATATTTTTGAATTCTTGTTGAAAACAGCAAGTCCCATAGCATTGATACTATGCATATTGTTTATTTTTTAATGATATCTTCCGTTCTTTAATTGTAATGTGCATTGCTAACAGCGGAGCTATCTCAGCCGAGAGGCTGCTTGTTTCCCTATATTTTACAATCAACTTGTCATAAAGCAGTAAAAATAAATTCCATAGAAAACACTCAAAAAGCCTTTTCAGCGAAAATTAATTCCAGCTAAAATAAAGTATTTTACTATAAATCACTCACAAAAATACCAAATACACTTATTGCAATATTGAAATATGTTGAATAAATTACACCCAGTTATACATAGTTTGCTGCATTTGTTGGTAGGCAACATAGTGATGACTATGAACTGACAACAGACGGTTTGTACAAAGACATTGTGTCCTATGCACCTAAGCTGGCAGGGATAGACGATTCAACAAACATTGCTGACTGCGATAAAAAACTGACGAGTTACATTGAAACGATTAAGAAACAAAAGCTGAAAATAATGAACACTGATCAGCTATCGCTCTGGTTTGTCAGTAAAGTGAATGAACACTATAGTCGAGGTAAGTTACGAATTCTTATTATACATGTACGCCTTTGTGTCACATGTATGTCAGTATAGTGAATCACGCACTACATTGTTGCTGGGCTGACGTAAACAAAGAGTTTGAATTGACATAAATATGACACATACAAACATGTCTGTGTCACTTTCATATGTACAGTAAAACCTGTCAAAACCGACCCCTGGATAAACCGACCTACTGTCAGAACCGACCGATTTATGTAGTCCCGAAATTTCTCCATAGACGCCTATGTTAAAACAACCTGTGAAATCCGACCACTGTCTACTCCGAACACCGACCGCATTGATCGGCCCCAAGTCCAATATTCACACTGAATACATCGACCATCCGACCAGTTGCACCACGTCCGCTGTCTAGTAATCCGGTCTGCCCGACCTAAAAAGTGTGCATTGTGTTGAATTTACCGTGAACGTCACAGAAACAATATCAAATCTCACACTACAAGTAACGTCCCGTGTAAAACAATAGCAACTGATTAAGTTTTTCACACCACACGCCATCGCATCGCGTGATGTCTGGACAGTGTAATGACCCCGGATATAAACAAATGATCGGGGTCATCAACTTCAATTGCGGTGAAGCACACTGCATTATCACTTCTTCAACGATCAAAACATTGAGTTTTCTTCTTTCCATACGATTCTGATCGACATTTTGTGCTTTCGAATGTTT